TGATGAAGAGAGCGACGAGCAAAACGTACTTTCATCGAAAATGCTGATATACATACATAAGTACATATGCATGTATGTGCATAGATATATACATATGTGCATAGATACATATGTGCATAAACGGCTAAAGAACAATAAATCTCCAGGTCCTGATGGTATTCCCAACATTGCTATTAAAACTGCAGTTGACGACTCTCCGTCAGCGTTTTTAAAAGTGTTCGACTCCTGTCTTCGTAGCGGAGTATTCCCGAATAAATGAAAGAAGCGAAGATTAATCTTACTTCCAAAGCCCAATAAACCACAAGGTGAACCTAGTTCTTATATACCCCTATGTATGATTGATTCCTTAGGTAAGTTATTCGCACGCATCGTTTGCAATCGTTTGTGGCAGCATATCGATACCAAAGAATGTATGTCAGACACTCAATTCGGGTTTCGAAAGGGTAGGTCAACTGTCGATGCTATACGCAGCGTTACCGACATTGCTGAAGAAGGTATTAAGGGTAAGCGTTGGAAAAATGGGTCCAAGGAATATTGTGCTGTAGTCACCCTAGATGTAAAATATGCTTTTAACTCGTTGAGCTGGTCGCACATTATAAATGCGGTAAAAATTATTCATACACCACAGTATTTAATTAATATAATTAACAGTTATCTACCTAATAGACTTTTGTCCTACAACACGGAAAGAGGCAAAGTAAGCTATAGAGTCTCCAGAGGAGTTCCCCAAGGTTCCGTCTTTGGCCCACTTTTGTGGATCATAGCCTACGATGGCGTATTGCGTCTACCCATTCCAAAAGGAGTTAAAATAATTGGCTATGCCGATGACATCGCTTTGGTGGTTGTGGCTAAAGACATAAATAGGGTGCAAATGTCCACAACAAATGCTTCCAAAATAGTCATCGACTGGCTTACAGCGAGGGAGCTGAACTTAGCAATCGAGAAAACAGAAGGTGTACTCATAACAAGTAGGAAGAAAAAAGAGACCGCGACCTTGAATATAAACGGGTATGTCTTTGATACATTACCAGCAGTGAGGTATCTAGGCGTAATGATTGATGCAAGGTTATCTTACAAAGTTCACATTGAAATGGTAAGTACAAAAGCGCCAAAAGTTCAAAGCGCGTTAGATAGACTGATGGCAAATGTAGGCGGTCCAGGTCAAAACCGCAGAAAACTGCTAACAAAAGTTACTGAATCAGTTATAATGTACGCGGCCCCCGTCTGGGGTCATGCACTGCAGCAAAAGTCCTATGATATGCTTGTAAACTTTGTTTTCCGTCTTAGTGCCCAGCGCGTTTGCAGCGCTTTCCGGACAGTTTCGCATGATGCAGCCTGCGTCATACCTGGCGAAATCCGGCGTACCTATATGCCGGCCCGAACAAAAGGTAGAGCCCTCTCAAAACCCGAGATCGCGGCCGAACGCCAAATAAGCCTATCACTATGGCAGCAACGCTGGGCACATTAAACAATATAAGCAGAGAAATAATGACAAAGCTAAGGATCAGCGAGCAACGCCGCCGCTAAGAAAGAGGATATAGTTGAAGTTACTTGTGTTCAAAATTTCTTCTTTTATCTTATTTTTGCATTTCTTTGCAGGTAAACCCTGTGAACACCAAAACGCTCCTGAACCCCTAATCACATTATTGGATGGGGGATTATGGGAAGGGCGGTATGACGTGGGGCATGTATATGCCACGGCCTCACCCCGATGTAATACGCGAGTGGTTCCGGGGAGGTGGCTTTTGGAGAGTTTCGCACGGGCCACTTGATGGATAGTTTCCCTATCCCAACGTCCGTTAGAAAAAAAACAAAAAAAAAACATATGTGCATAGACACATATATAAGTGTCCGCATATATTTTTTTCACGGCACTTGCTCTGTCGCTTCACTGCAGCAAAACCAAGTTGTGGGGAAAACCCTGACGAAATGCGTACAATTGAAACCATGGGTTTGAAGATTGCGCAGATTGATGTGAAAATTTTAACTTCATATTAAATATATTTATGTATGCATGTATGCGCATATGTATGTAAAAATATAGTTTCGATTTAAAAAAATCGGATAAAGTTTTTATTTCGCCAATGAGTTATGCAGACAACTATAATCGTAAAATCCGATTTGTGAGTCCAGATATATATATACCCAATAAACATTTCGGCGAATGTTCGAAAATGACCTTCGATATACAATATGAATATCGAACTGAGAACCAACTCATAGCCAACCTTATTTTTCCAACGTTTATAGTATATTGGAAACACACTCGGGATGGGTTCCAAAAAAATGGAAACCATAGTAACAAGAGAGAAAATATTTCTGAATTTCGAATTCATAACGAAAGAAAAATATATTGGATAAGGAAGGTTCCGTTTTGCTGGAGAATGGCCTAGTTCTCGAATCGAATACTAATTTATTTCACATTCGTTATCGAAGGTGAGACACGAAAAAATATTGGTTTTCGAATCATTTTCGAATTGTTAACCAAGCCGAACGTTTATTAGGTATTTACATACTTATGTATGTAGGTATATAATGCATCGCGACTGATTTTTTTAAACATAAATACGCCTCTAATTTCAGTATTTATTAAAAAACTCAATGAAATTCAAAAACTATATCACTTGCATTTGGTTTTACTCAATACCGATTTGAGCTGTCGCACAGTGTTATCAAAAAAAAAGTTTTCAATGAAAATTCGTTATATGGCGGTGTATGTATGTACATATGTACATATGCCGAAATTTTTTTATTTGTAAAGGCTCTCAAAAAAATCAAAGATTCATATAAAATTACGCACAATAAATGGAAAATAAATTTGCTTTTATAAAAAATTTCTTAAATCAGTATGCAGCTCTTAAGAAAAAATGCTCGTACATCTCGTCGCTACCATGTCAAACTATCGAATGTGAAAATCGGCACTTTTCAGGAGTGCAAAGAAACTTGTAAAAAATATTGTCATTAGACAAAAGTGTGGGATTCGACACTTTGTAAAGCCAGTATCCTCTGTTTCTAAGAAGGCTAGAAATTTGACGATTTGCCAACTTACGTATTATTCTAAACGTATGCGCAAGGTATCGTAAATGAAAAAGCAGTTTTACATAGTGATGGCACGATTAATCGAATAACCGATTATATTCGGTTATTTTCATTCGGTTAACGATTTAATTGTGTCGAAATTTTCATTTTGATTAATCGAGCGAGTAACCGATTAATTTTTCAAAATAATCGAAAAGAAACCATCAAAAAATTACTATTTTACTCACACAATAGTGTATGAATCAAAACAAGCTGGTATGTTTTTTACATTCTTGTATTCTGCAAATTTTTTAAACGATATTTTTGCCAAAAACCTCAACGCAAGCTTAACCTAAGTAGTACTAAAGAATCACAACCCAGGTATGCACATATTTTCATTTTATTTTCCGAATTCGGTGTTGCGCATTTTCTTCTTTTTTATATTGAAGAAAATAAGCAACACCATTACGAAACAGAAAAATACCAAAAATCAGTGGTAAGTGCCAGATGCCTCAGTCCTGGAATTTTTCATACAAAAATTTAATGGGCTACAAAACTGCATACTGGAATCTTTCCACGAAATCTAATTAAAAAGCTGGAATTTTTTGTTGATTTTTTTCAATATTGCACGTTATATATATTCATATTTATATAGCTATACTTAAAAACATATCTAAAATTAAAGAACAAAAAAAAATCTTGTCGTGCGCTATAATTTTGACACGTGGTGTTAGTCAGTTTTTATAACTTATAAATGTTTTTTTATTAATTTTCGATTTTAGTCGAAGTGACCGATTAATCGGTTAATTTCTTACGATTAATTGCAATTATTAATCGAATGCTTTCGATTAATCAATTAACCGATTAATCGATTATTAAATCTTTTTTGCCATCACTAGTTTTGCATACTGAAAAATATATCTCGTGATATTTCTTGAGAACTACAATGAGTAGGTTCAGAAAGCGCAGCAGTTGAGCGCAACCGTTGCTAAAAAAAATCAGTTATCGTAACGTGTCTTCTGAACGGATTCATACATTAGCTGTCAAATTCACAACACACAAGATGTTGTCTCAAATGATCAGAAAAATATTACGATCATCTACACGCAACTGTTCAGTTGATCAGAAGTACAAAACAACGCGTTGAGAAGGTGCAATCGCAACAGTTACTGAGCTGTTGCGCCTTCTGAACGTGCCCAATGAAAATTCGTTTCTCTTGAAATCAGGATTGAAATTAGAATCGAGAAATAATACTTTCATAAAAATTTAAGTACATACATAGATTTAAAAAGCTGCTTAAAAAGAACAGTTTTATGAAAATGTCACATTAAACAACTGTCTAAATTTGCGTTATTTTTTATAAATAAGGCCGTAAACATTTCAAACATCGTCAATTTCCATATTCTATTTGTACTCTTTCAATTTCGCTGACCAGCGCCGCAAACGACATCAACTAGTACGCTAACAACCAGAAATGAAATTTAATACGCAAGTACTTACAGCACTACAAGTATACAGAGAGTAGATTTGCTACTCCCTTTTGGCAGCAGCAAACATCTCTCGTACGCGATGAGAGAAAGTAGAGTACGTACTTTAGTCATTGTACAGTTTCATAAGTAAAAACACTATCAGCTGATAGCCAAAAAATGCCAACAGCTGAGATCACCTGATTTCAAAACGCACGTTTTTGTAACATTGTTGCATTAAAAAGGTTAAAAAAAACCACAATAAATCTTATTGAAAAGTTTAAAAAATTTCGTGCAAATTTAGGAATCTATAACTAAAAACGCATTACTATAACTAAGAAAACATGAATTATTGTAAATTTTGTTAGTCATGGATATTATTTTGAAGTTTTTTTGTCGATTTTGCATTGTTTTTAATGTTACCATAAAATGCAACTTTGTGATTGTAGTTATGCATTTTATAAGTACCACAAAATACATCACTACATATAAATAAGGCCGCGGTTTGCTTACAATTGTTTTATACAATACACGCATTTGTGAAATTTATATTATCATACAATACCGTGCATTTGTGAAGATATTAAGAGCATATTGTCGAAAGGTAAGCTTGCTACATTCTTTAAATGGTTTATTAATGACTTTAGATATTTATAGACCGTTGATTTAGGAATTCTATAGTGGCTAGTATGTACATATTGAAGATATGCAGTGCTTCACGGATCCTCAAACATTTTAAATGCTATGTTCAGGTGTGATACATTAGCAAATTCCATATTTTATTCTAAGACGTCGAGTTAGAAATCGCCACAACTTTACCAACTATAATTTTCAGGTCGAAGGTACATTGCCGGACTGCAATCACTTCAACCAGAAGCCGTGTCACCTTCCCATCAAAGATGCGATATGCACTTATGCTTACGAGAAACGTTTGCCGTGTGGTCATGTGTGCCAGCTTAAGTGTCATGTTAACAAAGACCCGGAACATATCGAGGTACATATATGTATGTATATGAGTTTGGTTAAATTAAATGTGTCCTACTTATGTTTTTGAGCAAATTGTTAAAACTAGTGCGATAATTGAAGATGCACCCTGAATGTTTTATTTTAATTAATTTAATTATTGATTTCAAATTTGGTTTTCAGTACAAGTTCTACAGAGATTGCGATCGGATTTATGACAATTGTGTGGAAATCACACGTGTAAGAAACAATGCTTCGAAGAATGCGGACTGTGTCCAAAAATTGTCGCTCTTGCGGACATAATTTCAAGCCATTTGTGTGCTCGAAGAATGTAGAGGAAATTGAGTGCGACAGACCTTGCAAGCGCAAGTTAAGCTGTGGTCACAAGTGCCCGTCGAAATGGTGCGAACCATGCGGAAGCTGTTCATTCTCGGTAATCTATTGCTTTGCATATAAATTGTATACGTTACGTACGATCATTATATTTACCAATACTTTGCAGAAAAAAAATATGAGTTCCTGCAACCATATGGTGGAAGTGAAAAGCAGCGGCCCTATTAAGATGGCATTTCAGGGTACTATTATATATATATATATATAAAATTTGAAAGTTAGGGGGGGGCTCGAGCACCCCCCTGCCCCTACCTGTGGCTACGCCCATGGTTCAGCATCAAAGAAATTGATAAGCATCAACAGGTTCACCAACAAATTAGAAACCGAAGTCAAAAAGGACATAAACGGCTTGCAGCATTTCGAAAAAATTAAAGTCGAACGCGAAATGATTCACAAGGCAATGGGCTACAAGCAAGGTCACTGGTACAAATGCCCTATGATAACTGAGTGTGGCGGTGCATTGGAAGTAAGCAAATGCAATGAATGTGGAACCCAAATAGGTCAGCACCGATTGTTGAGCAGTAACACCCTGGCGACTGAAATGGATGGAGCTACGAGACCCGCCGGACCACAGGATCCTAACGACTATCAATACATGTAACTTGAAGATTTTTGGAACATAAAAAATAGTTCGTATTTAAAAAAATGTTATCGCTTGATTATGAATATTAATTATCAATATTATAATTTTTGCTGTTTATAAAATAAAATCGTGCCTTTTGACTATTGTTAACTGGACAACACTATAATTTATTTAGAAGAGATAACTAAACAATCCGTGTATATTGCAAAGCTTCAAAATGTATTTCATTTATCCAGTATCATCTTTTCTGCGGCATATTTGTCGGGGGACAACGCCAACGTGCCGCCCCTGGAGGTGCATCAGCTGATGTACTTCTGTCGCAGGAGACGTCTTCCTGCAATCATTGGATGTGATGCGAACGCCCATAATGTTGATCACCGACACAAAGAGGGGGTGCGTCCCTTTCAGAATATACAAGCTGACCCGGCAAACTTCGTTTTGCCCAATTAGATTTTTGATTGAATTATTTTCGAAGGTGAGGTACCGATATGTTGTGTACATATAAATCTGTTGGAAGGTGAAATATTTTATTAATTTCTTTTTACATAAAGCCTCAAAGTAAATTTAAATATGGGAATTTATAATTGCTTTTCCACACCACCGCTGAGGTTGCAATAAAGGCGCGTTACCGATTTTTTGGGTGTTCGGTTCCCCTTGAGGCCTATTTTCACCCATATAAAGCAAATATTCTAAATATGTACACATGCACATTAATAGATAAGAATAACAGTGTCTAAACAGTACTACTTGTACTTGTAGAAAATTAAAATATGAGATGCCATTGAAAATTCAGTTACAATGGGTAAGAACATAAACGTAAAATATATCAATAAACATACATATATGCACAACTTTGAAGTAGTTACGGAATTTAAATTATAATACATATACATAACTCCCCCACGGTGACAGATTCTAATTTTATATGTAAAAAAGTACAAGGAGCAATCAAGAACTACGTGAGACGTAGTTGAACCCTCTCTGAAGCCGAGGCAACCTTCGACGACGTAGTCCAGCCTGCACAGTTGCTCGGTTGTCACTACGCGTAGGATGTTCGCCCTGGCCCGAGGAGGGGTCAACCATCTCGTTTAATGGAAGTTGTTGCGGAGTCGGTTTCACCGCCATCACTTCGGCAGCTTTCGAGACTGGGATGACCTCGTGCCAGCTTTCAGCCTGCCCAGTGGCCTTGCTGGAGGATGAGCAGGAGTCCAGGTTGATTTCTGCCGAGGCATCTGTTGCTTTCCCCGCCTCCGTCTCAACACTCTGCGGCTCCTTCGTAGGCGAAGTGCCCCTCAGATTTAATTTTATGTGGCCGAATCTGTAGGCTATCCAACCATTCACCGCAGCGAGTCTCGTCATTGATACGTGGTCAATGAGTAGTACCAAATGTACAAACTGACCACTTCTCAGCCTATGCGATATCTTCCAGCTAGCGGTCGAAATGCGATTCTGAGCAGTCATGGTGTTCAGAATCTTCTCGTTACTGAGCTGGAGACTTTGGGGGAAATATCCTCGGATTACGTGAGTTCGAGGGAACTCATTTTCCTCCGCAAGGTTAACGTCCAAGCCACACTTGGTCTTGATAACCTGGCCGTTCGATTTTAACCACGTCACTGTTTGAGCGTTCGTGCAGACGACAAGAAGCCACCCAGCTCGAGAGACGCAACTTTCGAACTCGGGCCTTACGTCGGCGCTCGAATTCCCAATCGCGACGTCTATTATTGTCTCTTGAAGCAGTGCCAGTTGCTCTACTGTCAAAGAATTGTTGACTGAGTCAACCGGAACAAAACCCAAGTTTACGCTACTTACCACCCGGCTAAAGGTGGCTTTTGCGGGCCCCATGTGAGCCGGTCTGGGTTTTTTCGTGACATTGTCACTGGGTGATTGCTCCTTGGAGCGAATACGTTTCAACTTCCCAGTGGTCGTTGACGTACTTTTGACCATTTTTAAGGCTTCCTCCCTAGACTTGCCTTTGCCTAGGGCACGCCTGAAAATCCTGCGCTCTTTCGAATTGAAATAAACAAAGCTGGACTTGGGGTCCAGCTTCACTTTTTCCAGCATTGTACCTATTTCTGTAAGCCCTGACTCAGAATCCGAGAATAACTCAGACTTCATTCGGACGCACGATGCACCTGACGAAACATTGCATGCTTCTCCTTTGACGTGCCCAATGGCTCCGTCAGAGGAGGTTGAGAGCAGCCCAAAGGCTGCAGTGAGTGATGATTTCTGAGCATCATCTGGCTCATCTAAATTTGGTTTATTTTTATTTGAATTCATTTTCTTCCCACGAGTGAAGGGGAAAAGGGAAAAGTACGCCGCGATAATCCCGATCCCACGGTAAGTCTAGTTGAAACTGGAGAGCGACCGGTATCCAGAGTTCGCATATTAACGACCAGGCTCCCCCCCTGGCCATGCATCGATCGGCATACGCTGTTCCACCTTGGAGTTGGGGTAATTTTTGTGAGAGGAAAAGGCAGCTCAGTGGGCAATCTGAGAAACGGTAGGAGACCAAAGTCAGCTCCGTCCTCAGACTGTCCCCTAATACTAGCCTCTTCCTCCCGGGAGTTTTCTTCTCCCCGCCCGACTACCACTAGCCAGCACTATAGCCAGAGACATGACCGTAGCTATAGCCTGTTTCCATCCGCCCCCGCGTGGAGAGTGTAGCCGCACTTCCGGCAGTGCATGCAGACGGAAGACACCCCCAAAGGAGTGAGAACCGTCCGCACACCTGTCGGCTGACGGCCCAGGAAATATGTCGAAAAAACAACAAAAAGAAAGTTAAGTATTCAAAAAAACAAAAAAAAAACATGTGCGACGTTTCGTGAATCCCACTATTATGTTTGCCTTAGCGGTATTTTACACTCAAAAATTTTATGTTTTCAAAGTAAGATTGCTTTGCCTCTTTATTAAAGCAGTTAATCAAACAATAAGTTCTAATTCTTATAAACAAGGACTTTGTAATATCTGGATTACAATTTTCTCAGCAAAAATATGGCTCTACCTCAACCATCTTTTCAAATAAAATTTGAGAAAACCCAATCATATAGCAAGTCGAATCAAAGTGATCGGTGAATATGTTTTCAAGCTTTGAAATGAAATCTATGAATTCCTTTGGAGGCTTAACAAGATTGCTATTACTGAACTGTTTTTCTCTAGTAAAGTAGAAATCCTTTTCAGTGATAAAACCATCGAACCTTGGGAGAGGTATTAAACAACTATGCATTTTAAAATATTTAAAATATAAGTAGCCACAAAAATAGACAAAAGCACTGCGATGAAGGAAACTACTTTCATTTACTTCAACCGATACATCAATTTGAACATTTTGAAAGGAGTGTAAGGAAGGCCTAGGCAAATCTTGAAAAATTTGCCAAGACGTATCTCTAACCAGAGCGTCATTACATGCATTTTGGAGGGTACTACTAGAAACTGATTCCCACTGATCCTAGGGCACGAGTTCGCAATTTCCCTTGTCAACACATCGAATATAGCCTATGCCCCAGGCTTGTCTAAAAAGTTATGAGAAACGCTGTGGAGTTATTCTCACGTCAAATCCCCCACCTCTTCGTATATGCCCGAAAAAGTTTTCTATCTTATCCTGGCATAACTTCCTAGTCATTAAATGGGTGCAACCTTGGTGTGACCAAAAGCTCCACAACTGTCGTAAACTATTAATGTTAAGGAGCCAACCTTTAATGAAACAAAAGGTATTGGTGATATCACGACCCAAATTATCATGGACTTTCATTGAATTAAGGAACTGTTCGGCCTCCTCAAGAAAACTTAATTGGTCCGCACTTGCTGAAAATTGCTGTTTGAAATTACCCGTTGCTCCAAACACGAGACTATTGAAAATATTGAACAACTTATCAAAAAAAGAACAAACTCGGCTGTATTGAAAAAAGATGGAGACTCTGAATTATCTAAATACCCGGAGCTGTAGATAGCAAACATTGCACTTGCCACAGAATTACTGAAAACCTGAGAAGCTAGCTGCACGCTCATTTTATTAAAAGGCTTAGGTCTAACATGTGCCGGTGTCAATTTATGAGTGCAGGAATTGTCATAATTGCCGCCTTTTTCATATACATGGATGATATGCATCCAGTCCACGGGTCGGCCATGAAAACTAACTCTATTTTTCTGGTTTTCTAAGCAATTCCTTGTACTCTTCAGGAGATGGGGAGAATCGAAGAAATAAAAGATTTTCTCGCCATTAACTTGAAAAAATGGTCTGTCTTTCGTAACTCCTACTATCCTAGAAAAGCTCATGAAGTTGGAGCCTTGGTCACAACCACATGATCAAGTGAATTTCAGCGGAATAGCTGCGCTTGATTGTGTTGGCATAACAAAAATGAAAATAGTGGAAAAAAGCAAACGATAATTTACAAGGCGTACTTAGCACGGTGCATAGGCAACTGGCTGAGTCAGTGGGATCGTCGGTTCGAATCC